ACATGTTATTACAAATAAATTTGCTATAGAAAAAAAAATCAAATTGTAAATATTTGTTCTAGGACCTGTTAGGATACCAGTAACGTATGGTTTGTCTTCTAACCTTGAGTGTGATCTTTTTCAGAAGCTTAGATTTTTATGGATTGTCTACATGCTGTGTGGGTTTGCCTGTTTGTGGATGATGTCATCTAACAGCAGAGAACCCAGAAATTCTGGATTCTGGGGTCAGAGACTCATATTCCTCACCAAAAAGCAAACAAACAAACAAACAAACAAATGAATTAATCTCCATCCAGCCACTTTAAACAATTTGTCCATCCATCGTCAAGAACCAGTTACGTCGAACGTCGAACACATCGGACCGATGCCTGTCCAGTGCAGGTAACGCCACCACAGCGCAGGGACGGCATGCAAATTGACCGTACAAAAGACCTTAAAGGATTTCGGCTGCAGTGATAATTACTGAGCCACCCTTAGAATGTAAAGCTACAAAACACTACGGCTTTGGAAGTGACTTAATGTCATGTCAGATGAACATCACTGTTTGTTTTTCTCTCTGTGACTTTGTGTCAGAGATTAAGTCAAACCATCTTAGATCTAAAGCTCCACCACATAGTCCAATGATGATAACATCCACCAAAGGGAGAACTCCCCCCAAAGCCTGTCTTTCCTTCTGAGATACCACAGTAATCACAGCATCCTGGGGTATTTTGTACTCTCCTTATCTGCGCTAAGCTAATCAAGCACCTTCACAAGACCACATATAACCATGAATCTCACTGCCGCAGCTCATAGCTCAAGCGCTCTATTTGAAGCAGGATGCCGTCGTTCCTGAAATCTTCTCTAAAAATGCATTTCCTGTCAAACTGTATGTCCAAAACTGTCTGTTTATTGTAAAAGTGAAAGACTCAAAATGGGACAAAATAAAAATGTGCTTTTTGGAGTATGCTCATGTCAGTCTATGTTCTGTGTGCTCTTACAGTGCAGTATCACTTATTGTGAATTTAAAATCACTTTAAATATAATATAAATCGGCTGTGACAAAACTGAACAATACACAAGGCAGGAGACAGCCTAGCTGAGATGTTAGTCTGCTGCATGATACCAAGAAGCAATTTAGAAACATTAGCATTTGATCCATGGAGGAAAATCCATGTGGAAAAAGGGATCCATGCACCTCCCCTAGACACTTTGAGCAGTAAAAAGGTAAAACAGTTAGAGATGTAGGACTGAAGGTTCAAAAGCAGTATCTGAGAGGTAAGTTCCAGACTGTGGTGGTATTGATTAGAGCCTGAAGTCAGCCCTTTGTGGTCTGTGCATGGTGTCACTTGGGCTGTTTTAGGGGGATTTTATGAATACATTTACACTAATTAGCTTAAATAATGTAGTTTCATTCAATCTCAGTAAAATCGGACCCCCAGTAACGCTGCTGGACCAGTGTTCCACTGCAAATGACATATTTCCCTTATCAAGCTGGAAGCAGAATGGCAGAGTTGGTGGGGTCCTGAGCTGCCCGCTACTGGGATTCGGGGAGCCAGCAGGCAGGACGAGCAACACAGGCCAGTGTGTTTAGCAGAGGGGATCGATGACTGATGGACACAGTTTGACTGAAACCTATGAATATTTTATGACTACAGTTTATTCAGCAGTGGCCCGAACACGGCTGTTCAGGTAAATTGATGCCTGCATTTCCCTTCTATTGTGTAAATGCTGCATAAAAAACCCAGAACATACCCTGCCTTACACTCAATTCTTCCTGTGACAGGTACTCAATCTCTGTGCCATCGAAAATAGATGGTCTTTCATTTATGAAATTTCAGACTTTATGAAAGTGTGTTTTTTTTTTCACCCTGAACAGGGGTATATTTTACACAAGGGGTCAGACTTGTCTTTTGTGCAGTAAGATGAAAAGACAGAAAAATTAGTCTAAAAATGCGTAATCCCAAAAACACCCAGGTAATTCTCAGTTCATCCATCCTGGTCTACTCTAAGTGTATAAACTGAACAGACTCATCGGTGCCATTTGCATCCCCTCTTTTTTTACTTGATATTCTCATTTTGACTCTCCTTAATTACTAAAGCAGCTGATTCTAGCTATTTTCTTGTACCTCTGAACCTAATATCCCTACCGTTGCTGGGGATTCCGTGCTGTAAGAATGATGCTGTCCATTGGATGAGATGTAAAACTGAGTTTCTGACTCTCTGTGGTCATAAAAGGTCCTGAAGTATCTTTCAAAAGAGTAGGAGTCGTACCCGATGCCCACTATGGCCCTATATCTAATTGGCGCATTCTCTCCTGCATGTTAGCTACTGTGCAGTGAGCATACTGGCGTAGAATGCCTGGTGGGGGCCACACTGGTGCTGGTTCAGGTGGCTTCCTATTGGTTCTGCAAAGTGCTTTGGGTGTCATGAAAAGCGCTACATAAACATGGTGGATAATTGAATAGATTTTGACTGACATCTAGATCACTGATTGAAGTCTTGTTCCTGTGCTAAGAAAGGTGTCACAATACTGCTCTTCATTTGGGATCAGCTCACCTTGCACCATTATTACTTTTTACTTTGCAATTTTGTCGTAGTGTAAAAGCCAATCCGTCATTTATTTAACCCAGATCTGAAATGCAATCAATGCAGTTGTGATACAAATTTTATACATTGCCTTTCAGTGGTCTGCTAGCAAATTTCTTCTTTCTTTTCAGACAACCTTTTATTAACCTGATTTTCAGAGGCAAGGTTAACAAATTCTACTTGTATGAACTAAATGAGCTTCATGGCCAAGAGGCCCAATCAGAGTAAAAACAATAAGGAAATGAGACAGAGCAAAACTAAAATGCATTAAAACTCACAAGCACACAATCAGCCAGTGATTTAGGAGGAGCAGCTGCAGGGAGCCATACAGAGATAGATGATAAATCGCTAAAAAACAAAGAACTAGTGGAAGGTCAGAGTGGAGTGAGTTAGGGGATGAAATGTAGGATCTAATTAGGATTTATGGAGGCTGGTGGACCAGTCAGTTCTGGTCCCAGTATGTAATGTGGGCCTGTTGATGGAGTAGTACAGAGTGCGGCAATGTGTTTTGTAGGGACAACTGGTGACAAACCAGATGGTTGAGTGATAAAGGACATCTACAGTATTACAGGCCCCTTTACACTCTTCTCTGTCAATGATGCCGTCTACAGGAGGAAGGTCACCTGTGAGCTAAAATGTGGTGTGTTGTCCTGTAAGTGAAATCCAAAACACAGTGGATCTGAGCAGAGGCCCACCCGCGACAGGGTGGGATCCCTCCACAAGATACACGGTCATTGGGTTCAACAATGCTTAATATGACACCGTGATCCTGCAAAATGGCAGCAGAGTTTTTAGATTTGCCTCGGCTCCCTGAGGGAGCAGGGAGGTGAGTTCTGGAAGTTTCCTGCAATTAGGCACTTCATTAATTGTTTGTTTGTTTCATTAAGACAAATTGAAGGGCTGCCAATTATAGATTCCTGTCACCCCGGCTCCCTCTGAGAGCATGGAAGAGTTATGGAAGTTTCCTCCAATTAAACACTGCCTTAATTGTTTGTTCATTTAATTAAAATATCTTAAATGCCTGCTAATTATAGTTTCCTGTAATTACACACAGCATTATTGATTTGTTCACTGAATCTAAAGCAGCACTTCCAGCATATTGTTCAAGGCTATATCACTTACTTGATTATGTAGTTCACTTTATTGTGCAACATTAGATATTCACTGTATATACTACAGTATAATCCCGTTATAATGGACTCGCTTATAACGGAATATCGTCTATAACGGACGAGGTCCCCGGGCCCTGGCCATGCGCATTTAAGAACATGCAGAAAAAGCATCGGATATAGCGGACTCGCATATAACCGAATTTCGCTTATAACGAACAAACAATTTGGTCCCCAGGGCCGCTTTTAGCTGTAGTTTTGTTCGGCTATAACAGACATGCAGCTCCGCCTACAAGGCGTGTGGCGTGCCGGTGATATCCAGTGCAGATACGTTTTTGGGATTATTACTAGTCACGCGCTATAAATTGGCATGACGTAACAGCAGGCAACACTGATTGGCCTGTGTGATTGTCCATCACCAGGCACGCCGTGCGTCGGCAGACGACGCTCGCAGCTAGAGGGATGCAGTAAGCACTTACAGGCTATATATATTTCCAACAGTCAGGTAAAGTTGGATTACTACATGTACAATATAATAATCTATACCACAAGTGTGTCTGCTGGGGTGTGGCATGAGTAAATGATGTCCTGTAGTTGTGTTCTGGGCATACAGCGACTCTGGATATAACGGACTGTTTTGCCAGGTCCCTTAAAAGTCCGTTATAACGGGATTGTACTGTATAAGTTAAGATACTCAGACCGGGGAATAGTATTGGCTATTCTCTAGGGATATGAACCCATGGTTTTACGATTTCTTATATATTTAGTCACAAATCTGACCTTATTAACATGTAGTGTGTGTGCGCGCGCGCATGTGTGTGTCTGAGTGCATGCATTTTCACATGATTTATGACGTCAATTGATATCTTTCAATTACTTTGTCTTTGAGAATGATTATGGATGACCCCCCTAAAACCTGCCTTTTAAATATTTAAACAGAAGATAAAATAATTGCTTCAAGCAGTCTGTTTGTATATCTGTCCCACCAGTACACCCCAATATCTGCATTTTTTTTCATAACACCTCCCAGTTCCATCTGGGAGTTATTTTTATCCGTTTATTAAATTTGAACTGTTTTGGAGCTTAGCATAATATATTTATATGTTATTATTTTAGCATTTTTAAAAGGCTTTTGTTTATCTATTTATACTGATGCTAATCTCATTACTGCTTCAGTTCAAAGTTGCTACGGTAACAAACATGTAGTACATATTTCTGTGTTTGCTGAATTATTTAATTGAAACTCGGGAGAGAGGGAGATACTTGTGAATCGCCTGGGATAGGTACCGGAGGATGGAGGCAGGGCGCTGCAAGTGAGGCGCGCGGAGAATCTTCGCGGTCGCCATTAGCCGCCGGACTGGGGTGAACTGCTGAGCGCGTGCGGGCGGTGTGTCAGTGACGGGGGAGGAGCGCGCGCGGCGGGATGCGCTGCTGCGGTGCAGCAGCCGGCTCTTCGGACTTAACCCGGACTCCAAAGTGAACGCATTCATCATCATCATTCTTCTTCTTCCTCCTCTTATTATTATTATTATTATTATTATTATTATTATTATTATTATTATTATCTATTTTGCCAATAATTCACAAAATCTCTGCTTTAATGCATAGTTAACAGGTGTAACCGCAACGAGAATTCAACCAATGGAAACGGTTTGGTGAAGCTTTTATTCTGCGCTTCAAGAAAACAGTAGGACCAGAGACGAGAATACAGTTTTTTAACTGGCAGACGAGGTTTTTAATAAAAAAAAAACTCAGTGGCATGATCAATAGTAAAAAGTATATTCTTTAGGACTTTTTTTCTCAAAAGCAGCCATCTCCCGTTCTGAGGTGCTCCATGGTCAACATAAATCTTGTCTGAATATCCCGTGACTGAAGTCTTCTAGCAATTCTCAAGGTAAGCTTGAAGGTTAGTTAAGTCATTATGTAATTTGGCATCCAACGCTTTTGTGTTTAATGAATGAATGAAAGAATAAATAAGTAAGCAGATAACTGTTTGCTTGAATGATTGCATGAATGCGAGAACATTAGCAGCTGCAAGTCTGTACTTACTCACACACATGCTTTTGCACGGAATATAGATTTAACCCAAATAAAGATAACAATTAGTTCCTGGGGTATTATTAATGTTTATTGCTCCCAAGTTTTAACTTATTTTTTGTGAAATGTTGTGTAAGGGTTGATGGCATACAAGGATTAATGAATTACCCCAAAAATACCAGAACGCTTAAGATTTTTTCACATTATGTTGAAGTGTACGTTGATATAAATTCTTTTATTATGGTATAGACACAGTCTTGCCTATCCCGCTTTGCAAGTAAAAGGGTTCTTTTACGCTTATAAACTTTGTGAGTATAAAATTGTCATCATCTTTTACTTCACTGAATATTGTTTTGTATTATGAACGATGTCACCATCGTAATATGCATTTTTAATGCGGTTATTTTGGCAGATTGTGGAAACGTGTTTAGTAGATCAGTTATAGGCAACGCCATATGTTAGAGCCCAAATTAATCATATTAGTAGCACTTTTCTTAAAGTAGTGATCATAATGCATTTTATATGCCTTTATAATGCATTCATGAAGTCTTATGAAAAAGACTATAATGCACTATAGATACTGTACCTTCATAATGCATTATATCAGCCAGTATAAGAATTAAAGATACATTGTACTGGATTGAGAGGTATTTATAGAACCTTAAAGATGCGAGCTTCGTAGAGCATTCATAATGCACATTAAACATGGCTATAATGTGGTATGCCTTTTTATAGATAGTTATAGCTATAGAATACTTTATGAATGCATTATAATGCATTATGGAGGTATCTTCAATGCATTATACATGAGTGCTAATCTTTTTAGGATACTGTCCTATACTATTTATTTGAGTTCCATCCTTTGTTTGGGATTTTGCTATTGAAGTGTTTTTGTTGACAGATTTAATATAAGCTGGTGTTTGCTTACACTTCATTTTTAATATTAAATGAATATATATAAAAATCACACAGAACAGAACTCCTACCATCATTTTTTATTCTTTTCCCTTTAGGTCAGTACTAAGGCTAAGGTTAACACCTGGCCCCAGTACAAACAGCAAATTCCCCTTAACATCCCGGCTGGCATCTTGGCCATCAACAGGAAGCTGCAGTGATGGGAGGCTAGAGAACGTGTTTCTCCGTATGCACATCTCAGACATGAATGTCTCCTGCCAGGGGCCAGAGATGCTGATGTTTCTCCAGATGACTGAGTCTCAGCCAAACTCTAGCTGCAAAATGGAGGCCACTCCCTGCAACGTGAGCGTGGAGAGCGGCCAGCTGCGGCTGCCCACGTTCTCCATGGCCGCCAAGGTGCGTGTGATCCTCACGTTCATCCTCTGCACCATCTCCGCTGTGTGCAACCTGGCCGTGCTCTGGGCCGCCAGTGCCAACAAGCGCAAGTCACACGTGCGGACGCTGGTGATGCACCTGAGCGCCGCCGACCTGCTGGTGACGTTCATTGTGATGCCGCTGGACGCCGTGTGGAACATCACCGTCCAGTGGCTGGCTGGGGACGCCGCCTGCCGCCTCCTCATGTTCCTCAAGCTGCTGGCCATGTACTCCAGCGCCTTTGTCACCGTCGTCATCAGCCTGGACCGCCAGGCCGCTATCCTCAACCCCCTGGCCATCAGCGAGGCCCGCAGAAAGTGCAAGATCATGCTGGGCGTCGCCTGGCTGATGAGCGCCGTACTCTCCATCCCACAGGTAGGGGGCACTCTTTCACACATTCCATCTGGGGGCAGCAGTTACCCACCAGATGTCCAGTATGTGGGGAAGGTCAGGGGGGGAAAAATAGCACTTTCCAGAAGACTGATTGTTTTGGGGTGAGATCTGTGCACTTTCTACCATTTCCAGATAAAAATGTGATCTGATCAATCCCCAGATGGGACTTACTATTTTGATTCGATTTCTTAGAAATCATGCCCATAAGTCTGGGATGGATATGAAAATTGATCTTGGAAGAGTGCAGAATTGTTACTTTTACTTTTTTACTGTTATGTCATGACGTGAATGAGATCGCTGTGAAATCCCAGCAGTTCCCACCCTCCTCTGAGTCTATATCTCAGTCCAATATACCTCACATGGTTCCTGATATCCAATTTTTCAATCTCTTTTATAGATACCTCTGTGTTTTTACTGAATAGATTTGCTCATCATCGTCAGAGCTCTTCCTGAGGTACAGTTTTGAAAGTCTAAAACAGCTTAAAAGTGATATCTTACTCATACATAAATGAGTGAATCATACATGAACTAGCTTTGTACATGAGTGTCTTGGGGTATGACAGCTGTATAATTAGCATGACGTTATGAACTCTCCGCATCTTTCTTGCTCTGTAGAGCATCAGCAGGAGCATACTGAGTGAGCAGGTGCCACAGGGAGAATCTCTAGACCTGCTGCTCCATTTGTCAAGCTAACATAGTTGAGCCGTTGCATAAGATGTGCTTCCCAGCTGTGTCTGCAGTATATATGCAACAGTATATCAGGGTTAGGCAGCCCTGATCCTGGGGTGCTGGTATCCCTCAGGTTTTCCATCCTACCTGGTCTCTGATGAAAGACACCTGATCTCAAGCAGACAGTAACTCATCACGCAGCAGAGAAAACCTACCTACTCCTATGCTATATTATCCATTTGCTTTAAAGCAGAAAGTATGGGAACTATCCATCTGCTTTCCATTAACTTTTATCCGTTGCTTGGTCATGACAATCTCAGGCAGCACAGGGGACACCTTGGGTGGGATACCAGTCCATCAAAGGGCATACAGAAACCTTTGCAAACACAAGGAGAGCATGTAAGCGTCACACACACAGCATGGGAAGGCAAACCGGCAGCACTGGAGCTGAGCGCCTACTGTGCTTATTTGGAGACTCAATGAATATCTGATCATCCATGTGTAGATGATAACTCCTGCCTATAAAAATCAGATCTTTCATAACTGAATGACGGCCTTAGCTAATCAGTCATCTTATTAGCAGATAGTACACCTGTCAAACACCTGTGGCCTGCATACTGAGCTCCACTTCTTCGAACAACATTCCAGCATTTTGATAATTAATGCTCTTATAACTAGACTCATATAGGTATACACATTATGACTATAAGTATGTGAACACCCACAAGTGCATAATTAAGCACACAGGCATGCAATGTCCAGCACTGGCAGCAAAATGCACAGAAGACCTTAGGGACTTTCAACTTGGCACCATCGTAGGATCCCATCTTTCCAACAAGTCAATTAGCCAGATTTCTGTCCTGCTAGAACTGCCCTGATCAGCAGCAAGTGAAGTAATTATGCAGTAGAAACATCTAGGAGCAAGTTCAGTTGTGCCACACAACTCACACAAATTTTGTGCCACACAAGCTCACACAAAGGGACCTGGTAGCCCAACATCGATACCGGTGGAAACTGCTCTAAGACCTCCTCTAAAATGTCACAAAATATTTAGTGGAGTATGTGCCGTTATATTTACATTGCTGTTACAAAGAGCGTGCTAGAACGTCAACTTCATGGCTACTTCATTCAGGATCAGCAATAATATCGTCTAATGTGACTTTTTTCTAATATATTACATTCCTGTGGCTGCACAGTCCAGTAAAACCCACTGAAGTGCAACTTCACTGGACTTCAATGGCACTTCTGTTTTCAGTGCAGCAAAGCTAGATGTTTATTGGATGAATGCTTCAAAGTGACATTTCCAGGGAAGCTCAGTATCTCTGGCAGTGAATGGGGCAGTGGTCTGGCCAGGACTCTCGGCTGCTACATGACGATTGGAGGGACTGTCAAAGTGGCTGCACATCTTTGTCTTTGACAGCATTTTGAAATTATACTTTGGCATCGGAGCATTTCAAGGTCAATCCCATGCAGATTTTCGGCAGATGAAGTCTTTTCATTTTTTCGGTTTTCATTTGTACATATTCTACTGTAAATAAAAACATAAATGTGACATTCTTGAGTTTGCTCCTTGTCTTGTTAGTAAGGTTTGTTGGTTAGTAGTTTAGTAAACTTTGTTTGTTTATTATTGTTTATTACTTTTTTATTCATTCGGTGGGTGGGGGGGGGAGGGGTGCTTCCCCTGTTTGAAAGACTGTCAGCCACCACTGATCAATACACAACCTGAATGGCAGCAAATCCCACCAGCAGTGTTCCAGCATCTGATGAAAAGCCGTCCCTGAAGTGCAGAGGCTATTATAGCAAATAAGGGCGAACCAACTTCTATACTCATACCCTTGGTTCCAGAATGAGATTGAAAGTGTATTTCAGCACCTTAATGATAGTAGCTGAAAGAAAATTACATAGAAATGGCCTTGAATGATTTCAATATATATGAATATTTTATAGAATGATGTGTTGATTGAAAAAATATCTTTAAGCAATTGCCCTTTTCATATGCCCCTTTAGGCATATTATTACTAATCTGAGCTCCTGAAATGAACTGTCTGAGGTCTTCAAATCACCACGCTGTCCAAAACATCACCAAGGACTTATCAAACGACAAAGAAGACTTCTAAATGGCTTCGGCGTCAAATTGTTTATAGTAGCATCTGTACAAGAAGTGATTCTTCTGTGTCAATTTACTGCAATTTTGATTGTCAATAAGCTGGATATGATGGACAGGCATCCTGTCCAGAGTGGGCCCCTGCCTTGTGCCCTATGCTGCCTGGGTGGGTTCCAGGATGGATGGATGGATGGATGAAGCTAATAGGTGAACTGGTATGCCAGGAGACCTCTGGTGTTCTGTTTTCCCAGATCTTCATCTTCCACAACGTGACCATTACGGTTCCGCAGACGTTCACACAGTGCACCACGCGGGGCAGCTTCCAGAGGCACTGGCAAGAAACCCTTTACAACATGTTCACCTTCACCTGTCTCTTCCTCCTGCCCCTGGTCATCATGATCTTCTGCTACACCAGGATCCTTGTGGAAATCTCCAAGGGAATGAGGAAGGGCAATGGTATGCTAATCCACAGATCTTCTGAGCATCCAGTAACTATAAAGTCATATCTGGTCTACAGTATATGCTGACTGGTTAAGAAATATGACTAAAGCCAGTTCATGGTTAGTATGCTCACACCTCAGAACTAGCAGCTAGATAACTCTTTATAATGCTAATCAACTAGGTAGTTCAGCTGACATTTCATCTATTTGTGGCTAAAAATGTTTAGCTAGACCAGTGTGCCTCAGTAATCTCTCCTGAGATCCTCTGTTTACGTGGATTTTTGTTCCGGCTGAGTCCTTAAGCTTGATTTAACTATTGGTTGCATTCTGTCTCAAATTTATATTATAACGTTTCTGAGAATTTGTTATTTTTTGTGACATTCATAGTAGTACAAAATAATGTGGTTTCATTTTTTCCTAGACCTTGAACTATAAAGAAGCTGTCTGATTTTTGCTCTAGCTATAGTGACTTGATTAGTATCTTTTGTTACATTCACAACAAGCCCCTACTCATGAGGCTGGTTGAAGCTGAAACTCATACATCTGTCTGCCGAGACTGAGAGGCGCTTTGTTAGGCTACAATTTGTTTAGGACAGAATACTTCAAGAACATCAAGGAACCTTCTGCACTCGCAGGGCATGCTGGGTAAATTTTCTTAGACTGACTACAGGTGGAACTCACTGTGTATATAGGTTATAAGAATCCAGTGTGAGTTCTGTATGGTCCTGGATGTGTAGAAAGATGACTCAGGATATGGTCTATGTTTCAGTGTCTTCTGCGGAGGTCCATCTTCGCCGCTCGAAGAACAACATACCAAAAGCACGAATGAGGACTTTAAAAATGAGCATCGTCATAGTGTTGACCTTCATCATCTGCTGGACCCCTTACTACCTGCTGGGTCTGTGGTACTGGTTCTCCCCCGATGACCTGGAGGAGACCGTCTCACACTCGATGAGCCACATGCTCTTCATCTTCGGCCTCTTCAACGCCTGTCTGGATCCCATCATTTATGGACTCTTCACCATTCACTTCCGCAAGGGCCTCAAGCGATGTTGTCGCGGCGCGGCCGGCGTGGCCGGCTCGGAGGCGCCCTCGCCCGTAACGGGCTCCGTCAGGCGCTCACCTTCCCTCCCTATGAAGAGACGACCCCCCGGAGGCCTCACCCAGGTGGGGGACAGCGGGAAGAAGAATGAGAAGGCCTGCCACCAGGGGGCGTGCGGTATAGAGCAGGAGCGATGATGGTACAGAGCTGGGCTACCTTGCAGTAAGGATGGATGGAAACCAGTTCCAGCCTGGACCTCAGTCTGGGGCTGGTGACAGTCAGGGCGGAACGGGACGTAAACCAAGTATTCAGCGGCTGGATCCTTTCTGCTGTATTCCTGTGCCCCTACTCAGCCTCTACTGATTTAGCACAAATATATATGATGAAAACCCTGAAGATTCTAAGAAATGTTGTTATGTTGACTGTCAAGGTTTAACATGGGCTGGTCTCTCTGGGATAAAGAAAGACCAAAAAAGACATTGAACCGCCATTGAACATCCATGAAACGGCTGCAGGTGAATGAAGGACTTGTCACCTGATTGCGGGTCTCCATGGGTCATCCTTGCCCTCTCCTCTCTTAAAAATAAAAAGAAAATTTCATTTATTTCATTGTGAGAAGACATAAACATTATGTATGACGTGAAGTAACCCAACAAAATGGGATTGACAGGAGGTGCTATTCTGTTGAGTAGCATAGTACTTGCACAAACTGTTTCTTTGTAAGGAGAGTGGCATGCTGGGGTAAGGTGAGGCGCTTCATCTGCTCCTGTGTCATGCGGCACGTGGGTGACAGCGAGATGGCGTTAGTCTCAGGGAAATTACTGTGCACGCCACCATATTCTCTGCAGAGCAGTGCTGCAGCTGGAGACGGAAACTGTAAAGTGTGACGCTCTGTCGCGTCCCCCGGTACCGTCCTCATCCTCCTTCCGTCGGCCGACCCGGTACAGCAGCTCTTCCTCTCTCTGGTTCCAGGCCCATCCCACATGGCAGAACTTCCTATGGCGTGAAGGCACTTTGATTCTGAAGACTTGGCAGTAATAATGCGGTCAAGCTTATGTGAAAAGTAGCAGAGTGTGATGATTAAGGCGGGGGGGGCATACTGAGCCCCTTTAGCAGAACCACTCGAAACGGGCTGGACTGAAGTAGCACCCAGCACATCATCATGATGAGCCAGCCCTGCTTTACCTGCCAGCAATGACTAGGATGACAGGTACAGATCAGTACTAGGTATGAGCTTCACAAGGACTTTCCTGGAAGCCTTCTTTACATCATCCATAGCAGGGATGGTCACCAGGCGCTGTGAGGATAGTCCAGATGCCATTGTCATTGCGTCAGCACTCGACATTTGTGCTAAATGTTTAGGTATTCCTACACCCAATGCACAAGTGGAATGAAGAACATTTACAGATTTTTACTTACTGCATCCTATAATAAGTTATTCAGTTCTATTTTGCATGTGCTGGTGTTTCAAGTAACAGTGTATAATAAAAACAATGTGAAATATACATAGTATCATTTTAAGTGACTGAACATTATTATTGTGTAATAAATTACATGAAAATTCAATTTTTATGGATTTATTTCAGATGACCTCAAAAGCAGGCAAAATCTCAGCTTATATATTCATGCATTTATAATGAACAGTTATTTATGACCATATGCAGTTATAAAAAGCACAGGATCATCTCAGAGACATGCAGCTGTCGTTCTAAACCACAATTTACTTATGCTCACAGGACTCTGTAAAAGAGAAACACATTTTTACATCAAAAATTTAACTGTCTGCAACAACTTTTCCGTATTTTGCATTCAAATATCAATAATACAATTCTGTCCATTGACACAGGTTATCAGACCCAATCAGCTTTTAATAGGACTTTGCCGATTCAAAATGCAAAAAGACGAACACATATTCCACATCAAAAGGGTACAATCTCCCTAAAAATAACAACTAAGGTTATGGTAAAAGGGGGAAAGTGTGCAGCTCAGTGGATTAACCCTCTGTGCCTGATTTTAGGGTTATGGGCTCCTGCCCGGCGTTGGTAACCCCCAGCCCTATGGGTGCTGCATTGGGTGGCTGCCCTTCACTGCCAAGCTCGCTCTCATCCACATAAGTGTTTGTGTGTCATAGAGAGCAAGATGAGGTAGGCAAAAAGAGAATTTCCCCAAGGGGATCAATAAAGTGTCATTATTATAAAAAAAGAGTCATTCTCACCTGACATAAAGGCAAAGTGGTCACCCATCGCGTTGCGGTGGGAAACGCCTCTTACCTCATCACCACTCACGCAGGCACTTCCCCTTTTCCGGATCATTCCTCCTTTAACTTACAGCAATAGTTCTTCGCCTCCTTCTTGAATTTCCTGTCTCCCTCCTTTCATGTTTCTGGCATTTTAGTATTCTCCATAAATGTGTCCCCATCTCATCTGCCTGTTTTCATCAAATCAAATGCATTTCATTACACAGCTTGCTGCATAACATCTCCCCCATTTACATTAATAAATGTGACACTGTTACACATTTATATTGCTATCATACTGTATTTCCATACTTCAGTACAGGACATTTCCACTCACCCACTATTTTATTGCATTTTCAATCAATAGCCCTTTCAGTGTCCGTTCATTCAAATCACTTAATATTAATTGACAAGTTCTGCCGCTTGGAAATCAGCTGGTTCAGTGAACCTGGAGGAAGAGGCTTCAGAAGCAGGCAGGAGGCTCGTGTGTCGGCCTGGAATCTCTGGTGTTCCTGTAAGGTCTTTTCCGGTCATCCAGGCTGCATCCAAGTTCCGCCCTTTGGATCAAAGTCAGCCTTCATCGTCATATATTTCTTGGATTTTCAGGGTTGCTGCTTAACCACCTCTCCTTATATACTTTTTTTTCTCTTTTTCAAGGTCTCTTTTTCCATTTTTTTTGACTGGCGAACACAGATAATTAATGCAGCACCATGTCACTATGAACTTCGGACATTAATCCCAGTAGCGCGATGTTCAACAGCCTGGTTGTAGCTGTTGCGTATACATTTTACTGTTAGAGGGATTATGGTCACATTGCTCTCGCACAGCAGCTCGACTCGATTATCAGTCATGAGGCTCTCCATCCCTTTTGACAGCTTGTTCCACATCAGGAAGCTTGGCTTGGAGGTGGGGTGGAACAGAGTAAGATAACATGAAGGTGAGCAGGTATGGGGTGAGGATGACACAAAGGCTGGGCGTCGTGGGCGGTGAGATGACAGCGGGCTGACCGAAAGCAGGGGGCAGGGTATGACGATCGGGCCGGTGGGCAGCCAAACAGAGCAGGGGGTCCAGGCTGCACCGACGGTCAGGCCCCGGTCAGAGCAGCTGGGTGAGATCAGCAACGACCCAGAACAGGGTAAACAAGGAAAAACATCAAAGGCAGCAGCCACATGGAAAATAAATAAATACAATCAAATGTTTAGCTATTCAGCCACTCTTTTATATAACGGAAAGAGATAAAGACTATTCTCTGTGTTTTTACAGAACTTGGGTAATTGGCAGCTCTTCTAAGCAGTTGCTATATTGACTTTCCTTTGAAGGAATGAGACTTTGAAACACTTTTTGCGAAAGGGTGCTAAGCTGGACGTCTCCCATACAATCACACTGGGACAGCCCCAAGCAGATAAGATCAACATACCTGGGAGCCCCAGACCGACATCAGAATGAACACTCAGGTGCTGTAGATTTAGCAAAACCAGGGGTCTCAAACTTAACAAACCTGGGGACTGCAGGCTACCAAAAATAACATAAACAAGAAAAAATAAAAATGACACAATATCAATAATTTGCCAGCGGTAAAGCTTGCCGAGCTTGTTTATCGCAGTAATAACGTGGCCAAGCAGACCCCACCAACTAAGAACAAAAGCAAATTCCCCTGGCAGTGAAGAGATGAGATGATTTCAGAAGGAGAATAAAGTTTAAAATTACATTTTGGGGAGTGTTGAAATCATAGTTGACCCATAAAGCATGATATCTTCCACCCTCAGAATCTGTTTGACGGATTGGGCAATGGTGAGGTAGCTTTGATGAGGTCCTTTAAATGAAACGTGTCCGAATAGCCATTTTATACACTATTAACTGGCTAAATAGGTCCATGGGTGAATATCTGCGGGATCCATCCAGGCTGCTGACAAAGCAAATCACCACATGGCTGCCTGTAACATTCGCCCACATCATTACCACTTCATTTGCTGAGCACCCCCCAGTCCTCCCACCCAAAAGAGCAGAAAAAATAGTAAATTCATTTATATTAAAATATTTCAGTAGCACAGTTACCTAGTTAGCTCACGTCTGTTTCACAAGAAAAATAGTGAAATATTAAAACTAGTGTAAATAACTGTATTGTTGTGGAATACAATCAGAGGTCTTTCTTAGCAATAGGCCAAAGCAAAGACCAGCTGGAGGCAGAGACCCAAGGAGGCGACCCAAGACGGAGGCCCGAGGTGGAGGCCCGAGGCGGAGTCCCGGGTGACAGCCCAAAGCGATGGCCTGAGGCGGAGGTCCAGGTGACAGCCCAAAGCGATGGCTGGAGGCGGAGGTCCGGGTGACAGCCCAAAGCGATGGCTCGAGGCGGCAGCCTGAAGCAGAGTGCGAGGCGGAGGCCCGACGTGGAGGCCTAAGGTGACAACCCAAAGTGATGGCCCAAGGTAGAGGTCCGAGGCAATTACCTGTGGTGACGACCCAAAGCGATGGCCCGAAGTCACGGCCCAAAGAGATGGCCTGAGGCAGCTGCCCGAGGCAATACGAGGTGATACGAGGAGGCAGCCAAAAGCAACAGTCTGAGGTGGCAGCCAGAGGTGGAGGCCCAAGGCAGCAGCCCAAAGCGACAGCCCGAGGCACAGGCTTGAGGTGACGACCCAAAGCAATAGCCAGTCTCTTGGAGATCTGTGAGCCACTTGCTGTCAGCTGCATGGCCAATATGTGGAGGCTTAAGAAGGATGAGTACAGAATGAAGGGAGGGAGGGAGGTGGAGTGCCTCCTATGGGGGGGTGTGCTCTGCTTATATTGTCAACAGGGGTAAGGGGAGGGGGCTTCTATTAGGGGAAAGGGGTGTAATTCATTAATCTCCATCTCTGTCTTCCTTCATCTCAATTTTATTTGATTTGTATGGTTATTAAAAATCGCACCCGGTATATCTTGCCAAAGCAATGCAGTTCTAAAAGCTATAAAATATATATAGTAAGTATGACAAATGTTAAATAATTTAAGGTGGCGCAGTGGCTTCACACTTCCAAGGTTGAAGGTTCGATTACCCGCCAGGCTCTGCGTATGTTCCCATGTCCTCCATGTTACGCCAAGTTAGGGCAGTCAGGGTCCCTAAATGACCCTTCGTGTGCAGGTCATGGAAGACTTATAATTGTTAAACCTTCCTTATATCTTCCAACCACTTATCCAGTGCAGGGTCATGGGCAGGGGGCTGAAAAATATTCCTAAATATATTTATGTATAATGAAATTACAGATGCATGCCCCCACTACACTGAGTGGTACGCAGAAATGTGTGGCCCAATTGCAGACTGCTGCTTTATTTAACCCTTTGGCTTGAGTGAGAGATTATTCTACATATAAGTGTGGTGTGGGGGGAGGGACAAGCTTAAAAGAAATAACAACAAAACAGCAGCTTTCGTGAAAGCATATTCCCCTCCCCTTCCCAGCCCTAACCTTAACCATAAGTAATCAAACAAAATACAAGCTATTTTTAGTTTTTTGATTGCAGAAGAACATAAGAAATTTACAAACGAGAGGAGGCCATTCGGCCCATCAAGCTCGTTTGGGCAGAACTTAACTCATAGCTCAAAGTTGTTAAAATCTTATCTAGCTCTGATTAAAAGGAACCCAGTCACAGATTTTTATAGAAGTGAGGTTTATATTGATCATATGGGAAATGATCATACCTTCTGTGTGACCTTCTTTATCATTCTATAAAAAAAATGACAAGAGCATATGCTAAAGATATGGGGCTAATTTGTTTTTGTCTCCTTCAGAGAATGCATTTCTTATGCAGATTACGTCTGTTTGAAGTTGAATGAAATCAGGCTGTCTTAGGGAATGTCATTAGGTACAGAATGACCGCACATTTGGGGAGCTTCCCGCAACATTAAAAGCAAAGTTAATGCATCTGTTACAGACTGTTGTGAAGATCATTGGTCAGAAGGATCAATATAATCTTCAGTCAATTTTTGAACAATGTGTACTCAAACAGGTAGAGAGGATCCTCAGAGATTCATCCCATATTCTGTACTCCAAGTATAAGCTGTAACCGTCAGGCAGACAGTATTGAGTCCATCGGCGCAAACCGTTTGAAGAACTCTTTCGTTCCTGTGTCTGTCAGTATTTGGAGCAATAGCCTAAAACAGCAGAAGTAGTTATGGGCAATTATATCTAAATTATATATATATATATATAGTATATCAAATTTGATTTGGTTACTTATGGTTAAGGTTAGGGATGGGTACGGGCTAAGGGTGCCGTGATTGAGATGAGGGTTTTTCCCACAGAAATTAATGGAAG